GCGATCCTCCGTTGAGAGATTAGTAGGATTGGTCAACTCAACAAAGAGAATTGAATCATCCGTTAAGAGAAAATTAGGGATGCTTACTTCTTGGTTCACAAAGTGGAAAATCAATAATATTTTAGAAAGCTTAAAAATAGGAAAACAAAATGAATTGAGAATATTGCTTACGTGTACTTATAAATACATCTTGCTTATTTTGTAATTCTTTCCAACAAGTAGGGTAGAAACGTAGGCAAGAAATAAGTTAAGAAAGAAAAAGGTGAAATTGTAATTTTTCTTTATCAATAATATATTTGCAATATAATTTCAAGAATTCTATTTTAACTGTTATTATTTCGTATTTATATTCTCTCTCACAAATCTGATTAAGAGAAATTTTGCATAATTACCTAACAAAGGCGATCATGTTCCAAAGTATAAGCTGGATGGGAGTTTGGGTTTTCCAGTAACTCTTTTTTTATCTTTTGTACGACCAAATCCCTTTCTACTTCTTCTAAGACCGCTTGGAACTCTTGCCAAAAGGGTTTGGCAATCACTCTCAACTCCTTTTCCTCATCCTCCTTCTCTTCCAACTTCCTATCCAAAGCATCTGCCACCTTATTTGAGGCATGTGATCGGTAAACAATTTCAAATTCATAGCCCAACAATTTGGCCAACCAATTCTTTTGATTCTAAGTAGTTATTCTCTTCTCTAGGAGGTATTTTAAGCTCCCCCGGTCTGTGTGAACGACAAATTTTTGGCCTAGGAGGTATGGTGTCCAATGTTGGATGGCCAACACTAAGGCCATTAACTCCATCTCGTAAATAGACTTGGAGAGAGAAGCTCCGGACAATGATTTACTGAAATAAGATTTAGAGGGAGAACGCATCATAGTGGTCATGTAAACCATCTAATATCACCTTAATGTGATCTTCTTCAATGTTAGGGAACCAATGGCAATGAGAGAATCCACTGTTCTTTTAATATCAAGAAGATAGATAGATATGTTGTGTTAAGAAGTCAACTTTAAGTCTAACTTAATCGTGTTTTATTTTGTAGTCAACAGGGAATCTTAAACACCCCCTCTCACACCAAGGCATACACATTTCGAGCTTGGGATTAGATATTAATGGGTGATTCAATACTAGTCTGATAGCGGGTGAAACAATAAGTCCAATAAATAACAAATCTCACTAGGATAGGCTCTAACTCATGACTCTGATACCATGTCCAGAAGTAGATTTTAAGCCTAACTCAACTCTACAAAATTGACTTATAAGTTAAGGTTTGCACCTATTTATATACTATACACTGACCTTATTTTTAGCCAATGTGGGATCCCAACATGTTGCGCATTCAATTTCTTGATATTGGCGCGAGATTGGTGGGCATAATAGGTTGTAAGCTTTTTCCAAAGTTCTGATGCAGTGTTGAAACCAAGCATTTTCGTCAGCGGAGTTGGTGAGATTGAAGCTAGGAGTCAGGCCATTATCAGGTGATCTTGTTGTTCATATTGGAGAAACAAAGGATTAATGATGTTTGCAGCTTCATTTGCAGGCGTAAGGAGCATGGAAGGAACGTTATTGCCATCAAGAAACTTCAAGAAATGGAGTCCTTTGGTTGTAGCAATAATCTGTTGCTGCCAAACTAAAATATTTTTATCTAATTTAAGATTAAGAGAGGTGGGAAATGTGTGTGGGACGAAGGGTGGGGAAGACGAAGCTTGGGTGGACATGGAAAGAGAATGTATGAAGAAAACAAAGTTATTGTATTTTCACTATTGTGTGTACAACGAGAGAGAGAGAGAGAGGGAGAGAATAAATAGTACATGAATGCATACAAAGGAAAACCATGCACGTACTTATGGTTACAACATATAATAGAAAAACTAGATCTGTTAACATATACTAGAACAATGATAGAATTTTGTTAGTATTTGGGTTCAATGTTTGGATTTTTGGAGATAAGGAGAAGGGAATAAATCAAAGGAAGTAGAGGAAGAGTTGAAGAGCATGGTAGATAGTGTTGATTTTCCTTCCTTTTGTTTGGATAATTAAAATTCCCCTCAAGTTGGGGAAAAGCTTTGAAATGTTCATAAAAATAAAATACAGTGGATACAGGATCACTTGTTAATCCCTTTCTCCTCGTTCCAAAAATAACCGAGAAGTTATAACATGTTTCATGTAGTGACCCTTTTTTTGAATTCACTTCTAGAAATTCTGTAATAATATACATTACTTCCAAATGCAGCTGATTATTGGAAGGTCTCAGTATACATTAATAAAAATGTTTGCAAAGTTGAGTAGAACAAATTTACAAAAGTCTCCGAGAAGTCCCTATAGTGTTCAGCAAATGAATTAATTGGGTAAAAAATAATTTAAAAGATTTTAAAGGGGCCATTGGCGTCTGATTGCAATGCTTATCAATTAAATTCCCTGGACAATCAATTTCACAAAAAAAAAAGAAGAAATTCAATGCATCCAAGGACAACAGCTTTACAATAAAACATATCAACACCATCATTATTAATTTATGATGGGATAATTACCAAAAATTTAGTAGCAACAAAATCATAATTTAGTTGGATTATAATTCTATTCTAGGAAAGCTTAAGAGGACCTTTGGTGATTAACCTGAATACCTCATCTGGTTGTTGTGCAGACTTGGACAATTATAGATTCTGGTTCTTCCTTTCTTTTTGTATGGCTTCATATGAACACATTACTTCTTTGAACTTGGCCTCAGAAGCCTCTATCACATTTTCATATCCAAGAATCAATAATGCTATGGTCGGAGTTAAAAGGATCCCATTAATGACTGGTAAAGGCATACCTCTATTATCCTGGTTCTGGTCAGGATGATACTGCATTGCCTTGGTTCTAAATGCTGTCTATGGAACAGATAAGATAAACTTTGTAAAATGAAACCAAGACCTAACAGAGCAATATATATAACAGAATAAGGAATTTATATTAAGATGTCCAAAACCAAGGTAAAAAGATATGAACGCTAAGTACATCCTTGCTGCAAACTAGATTTTATAAAAGGTGTTATACTAAAGTTTATAGTTAGTTGTTGGTCTATCGTGCATAAAATTTATGTGATACAAACTCCTTTATTATAGAACTTGCCATAAGAATTTTGGCAACTTACCATAGGGTTTTGCTAGACCAATATTCATCATCTGAACAAAAATAGATCACAATATCTATGGGGAGGACAATCAAAATACTGGATAAAAAATTGCAAGTGAAAATTAAGGCAGCCATGTAACTTTACATTGAGCACAAACAGTAATCTTATTTTTCGCATGGATTCACTAATTTCCAACAAATTGATTACCAAACTAACGGTTTTAATAAATAAGAAGGGTGCCAAACTAACCACCCATCAAATAATATCAACCAAAGGGTCAATCTTAGCCATTTCTTACATACCGATGCTAACAAGGAAAATAGGTAAAGATTAACACTATAATTCATAAATTGATATCTTTATCAATACAAATATGATGCATAAATTTAACAAAGCATAAAACAATATAAAAAGAGATAATGATAATGATAATAATAATAATAATAATAATAATAATAATAATAATAATAATAATAATAATAATAATAACAACAACAAACAAAATAGATGGAAATTTACCTTAATCTCAGCATCTGTATAGGGTGTTGTTCTAAACCTGAGATTCATAAAAGGGAACCATTAACAGCAACATGAATGCAAAACAGATATGTTATTGCCAACTTATAATGTAGACAGTACACTATTCATGTCTGGTTTTCCGTTAACAAATCATGTTCAATCAACTCTCAACAGATACCAAAAATCACATCCTTTTTTATCGGCTCATAATCACATATTGCTCCAAATGAGACATTACTCTGACTCCTCCATGTTGTATCGTATAATATTTTCAAATATTCTAGTTATAGACATTTTCTTCATAACAACATGATTCTCATATTCTAGAAATATGAAATGCGCTATCTTGTGCTCTGTCATGTTATAAAGTAAGGTTGGTATTTTCTATCAAAGCACACCTTACACAATCCAATATCTGATATTACAAAGGCAAAGTTACAATGCCTAACATTGTACTGTGATAAATCATGGAAGGACATTACCTTAAGAATTGTGATAAAATATAAAATATTAAATAAAGAATTTAATTTGGACATAAACTAAGAGCAAACAAGCCCATGCACGTGATTATTCTAGCAACAATGATCTCATATATATATAAGCGTTGAATATTTTTTCAAACAAGTGCAACAACATGGTTTGTTGATTGTTTAAATAGATCAAAGTTTAATCAAAATTGTGAATGTCAATGATTAGCTCAAAATATGGAATTTATTCTATAATTATTACAACATGCACTTGTGCTCATATCTTGATTTTCACTAGAAACACGCAGAAAGGAGCTTGGGTGATAAATAACAGGTCCAGAGGGTGGTTAATTAGGAGCTAGGGAGGGAAACATGAGTCAAATAATGACGACATTGAGCTGGAAGAAAGACAAAATGTAGGAAATCCTAACAGAATGGGTGTGATAGGCAGTGGAGAGTGTATGAGAGGAGAAAGAGGAATTAATATCTTAATTGTTTTAACAGTTAGGACGGGCGAGAGTTCCTGTTGTTTGGTCAGCAGGGGTTAGTTTTTGAGAACTTGATTGTATAGACAGGTACATTTGGCCCTGTGAGGGAGGTTATGTTCCCAACTATTGTTTGTACAGAGAATTCTATTACTGTTAATAATAGAAACTCATTCTTTCATTACTCTTTCAGTGATTGTTAGTTAGGTTCATGCATGTCATAATCGGGATCACAGAAGTGAGGAGAGTAAAGGGTGGTCTCAGTGGGGTATGCCATTCCTAAGGATGTGAGGTGGCGTTCCTAAGACTGGGATTGTCTTGGTTATCCTTTGACATTATACTTCTTGCTGTTTTTGTTTTTTAAAGTCCCAGAATCTCAAAATACTTTCTGGCCGTAAGGAGCTTGGTTCCATTTTCCAATTCAATAAATAAATACCGATCACATTCTGATGTATCCATCTCCTGCTAATACAGGGCGTTGAATACCATTAAAAGTTATACTATCCTAGACTCCCAGTATCCTAGGGTCCTCACAATGCAAATGTACAAGGGAGAGCTACTGTGCACGGCCTTACCTTTTCATTTGCAAAGAGAGTATTCGGATCCAAACACATGATTAAACGATCACCACCAAGACACAACTTTACTGTTGCGTCAGGTCTCACTGAATAAAATAACACAATATTTCTGTAAGTACCTGTCAAGACCCAACACTGAGTAGTGATGTGATAGTGAATAGTTTCTGCTCTCTCCTGGAGTGTGTTGATAATTGGCCCACTGCTCTCTGAAGGATTCTTCGGCCTTCCAATACCAATCATCTCTTTGAAAATGTTGATGATGTGCACCACCACCACTTCCCCTCCAGCTCTCGTAGCTTCTTTTACGCTTATCCCTTTCTCTATTAAACACACTTTGCATGCGCTTTATACGTTCCTACAAAAGCAACCTAGAATCAAGACACGCTACCTAGCCTCAACCAACCAATTAAACATCTAAGCAAGCAAAGAAAAATACGCAATTTCTTTGACTTACTGTAGAGAATAAACTGAAAAATACACGCTACAGTCAAATTTGCTTTCATAACAAAGTACTGACTCGGGATCGCCCATCAGAAGGACCGCATTACATCTCCCGTTTTATTTTAAAAGGCAATGTTTAACTAAATAATAATAATAAAACAAGATTGAAAGTAAAAGAATGAATAGTTTATGTAGAGACACATCTAATAAAAAATTGTTTTGTATGCTAAATTTGCTATTTTTACTCTAACTATTTTCAAAGTCATCAGTACCATGATTTATGATTTTTACAATGACCATACATAGAAATTAAAATATACTAGAAAACTCACCACCCTTTCCACCTCCTCCTCATACTCTTCTTGCAGTCGTTTATTGTACCTCTTCCATGCTTCTTCTTGGAATGATGATCGAAAAGAACTGCCACTCGCTCCTCTTGACTGAGACCTGGACAGCTACAAAGAGTTCAACAATGGCATGAACCATCAGTTTCATAGATCCCTCTGCATCTCTAGGTTGTAGTTCAAACACAAAAGGAAAAAAGGAAAAAAGAAAATAAAGGGCTTTTCATACAAAGCATAATCTACGAAAACGTAAGTGGAAAATTTATGTTCATAGAATAATAACATTACTAAAACAAAATCTGCCACACAAAAATCAAAGCGATTCTAGTGAATGGCTCATCCGATCAACTTCTTCACACGATGCCAAAGGAAACCATCACGAAGATACAGTAAATTATTTCACAGTGGAGGATCACCATGGTTCCAATCAATTTCCATGTAACACGTAGTCGAGTTTTATTACCTCTTTTTCATAAGTTGAAAATTCTAATAAATAAATCACTTAAGGATTGATTAGAATGATAAGCAGGAGGTATGCCGGACCATGTAACAATTTCTTCAAAAACAAGGTTGGTGTGAGAAGGACAGAGCAAAGTGCAATTGAGAATAACACTAAGATCATTATTCTATAAAAAAAAAGTAATAAAAATATACTGGAATTCAAGTTTCACCTAATCTCTGACAAAAAGTTTGCATGAAAATCGGCATATATTATACATCATTGAAGTGAAATTTCAACTATAATTGGAAAACAAAGGTAGCAGCAGTTAAGGAACTGCATGTATTTCTAAAAGAAGCAGGAAGATGCATACGATTCGAAGAACAATATGAAAAGGAAACAGACAAACTAACGCGGAGAACTAACGGAGAAGGCAGTGACGGCGGCGCCGAGTAATCCAAAGAGGAAAACTCCCCAAAGCTTGATATCATGCGCTTTCTTTTCGTTCCGATCGTTTTCGTCGTTGCTCATTTGTGAACCAAAGCCAGCAATATCACAATTCAACGATTCGAATCACCAATTGTTCCACAGTCCAAACACGTTTCTTCTCTCTCAGCAGCGATTGCCATTAAATTCTCCTCCTCGCTCTCCTCCAGTTTCTATTCAACTAAAGCACCAGAATCGATCCGGCCCGGTCCGGTCCAGTTATTATTAATCCGAATCATCACTATGACGTGGCACCAATCACCCGGTTCATATCAACTTTTTAACTTATTGGGCCACAATGGGCCATATCCAATAAGGCCTGGCCCATTCTGAATCACCGGTTCGACACCGTTGGATTCCACCAACCGACACTCCAACACCCTCTTCATTCTTTTTTTTCTAATCATTGTCATTGCCATTGCCATTGCGACGAGAAAAAAAAAATAACACTTTTTATTTTTGTTATGATTCTCTCTTTTCTTTCTGTTTGTATTGTGTGTAATCCAGATCTAGCTTTTGCAGAATGCAAGTTCTGTAGGATTGTTTCGTTTATCGGTAATTCGTGAATTTTGGTTCCTTACGCGTTTTCAGTTCACTGATGTAGCTTTCATCATGTTTTTTCATCGGCATTGTGGTGAAACCGTGAAATCGTTTTTCATTCACGTTTTCTGATTCGTGTGTTGCAGATTAGTGGAACTAACATAACGCGTTTGTGCTGTAAGAAGATTCGAGAATTGAAAAGTTATGTCGAGGAGACCGGGAAATCCTTCTAGAAGGTTCGGTGACAATGGCGGTGGATTGTTCTCTTCGAAATCTAGGTCGCCGCCGGTTTTATCGATTGCACTCGTAGTTATGGTGATTTTTTTTATTGAGTTAATAAGGTGCTTTCACTTTCGGTGATTTTTTTTTTCTGATTGATTTGGTTTTGGTAATTCTACAGGGAGGTTTGTTTGTCATTGGTTATTTTTACCGGGGCTCAGGTTTGTTCTACATTTTTCATTTTGTTACTTAGATGTCCTTTTGGCTTGCTTTGTTTATCTATGCAATTCAACGTCACGTGTTTATTTAACAGGTGGATCAGGCAGCCGTTTAGATTCTGTTAGCAGGCTTGAAGGTAATTTCTAATTTTTTACCTCTCTGTACTGTGAGAATTTATTACATGATCCTAGATCTCTACGATCTTGACCAATTTACATGTGATAGGCACTTTCAAATTTTAAATTTTGGCTACCTATTACTTTGAAATTGGTCTTGGACCGTGTAATAATGTCTCCAAGACTGTGATTTGTTTCACCGTCAATTTCTTTGTCTATTTAAGATACGAACAAAACTTGTGTACAGTCTCTTAAGTACTAATTGTGCTGATATCTTAATTGGAATGGGAGTTTTACCTTGTCAGTTTGCGTAATCCTTTAACGCAAACCTTTATTATGTGAATTATGTGGTAGAGTGGAAAATAACAGAAACAGTACCTAGAGAAATGTATTTTAGTTTAGTCCGAAAGGTACGTTGGTATGCTGTAAGTGGAATTATGTTGATATTTTAGTGGGTATGCTGTAAGTGTGTAGAGCGGATAAGTTCGTTGATGATTATGTGAGGTTAATTCCTAGTTAGCGGAGAAGGTTTTTTGACACACTTGATGAATTTCGTTTAAGTTGATGTCTTAAGCAACAAAGCAAGGTTTTGTCATTTAATTGGACGTGCATGGTGGAGCTTTGTCACAAGTGATTGTTTTCTCATTTCGTTTGAGGTCTAAGCTCGACTGATGGTGGCTTGCCGCATCAAATGTGATTTCATTGTTGTTGTGTTTTTTGTTAAGTGATAAAAAGACTTCAAGAACACTTTCTAGTCTTTGGAATCAGAGGTGTTTCTGTAATCATAAAATTTTTATGGTGTTAAATCTTATGATGCTTTTCTCTTACTTAGTTGTCCATTAGAGGCTTAGTGCTGCATGTGAATCCCTAGCATACAACAACAGCGTGGCTACTTTCTTCACTGTAGGAGTTTCTTCTCTGATTTGTTGTGATATAACTAGTCATATATGGTTCTTTTTGTAAAAAAAAAGAACAGAAAAAATTGGTCAATAATTCATTTTTGTCAGACTTGATGTTTCTAGCAGATTAAATGTTGAGTTATTTTATTTCTCTTTATTGAAATCTTATTGACTTTTATTCATGTCTCCAAAGGTTGAAAAATCTACACTTGTACATTCTTTTTTCTTGTGGTAGTATGCGTTTATTGAATTGAGATTCTTGAAGGATAGCAACTTATATACTGTCGTTTTCACTGTTTTTTATTGCATTATGATATCAATGAACACAGAGAAGGAGAAAAGATAGAAGAAACTCTTGTATTATTGCTCACTTTGCCTAAACAAAACAGAGGAGAAGAAACCCTCACTGCATGAAATACCGTGACCTCATTCCCTACTACCCCAAAATGCCAGCCTCCTCAATACTTGCTCGCCCCTCCCCTCTATATTCTCCCTTTCTCTCTCTTCAAAACAGAGAAAGAAATATTTCTGTTACGAATCATTGGGTGTGTGCAGGTGGACCCGACGAAATGGGTTTCCACTTCTTCCTTTCATACACCTTACTAAACTCCCCACTTTTCCCTTTTCCCTTTAGAATTATATTCGTATCAAAACAGAAAAATATTTGTTTGGCTGTTAGTGCCTTCTTATTCTAGTTAGTTGTTTTATCTAGTCTTCTTGTTGAGGATAGTGATAATATGATATTTTTTTCATGTGTCAGCTGTCATCCTTTGAGTTGTATTATTGCTGTGACACTTCCAGTTGGGTTCAGACTGACTGCGCATAACTTATGATGACCATCTTCATACAGTTAATGCAAAATAGTCCAAACACATATACAAGATTAAAATAGTTGAAGTTGCTGACACTAACTGGATCTTACATAATGAGTGTTCTATACATTTGTCCTACCATGTAGTAAACAGTGTTTATCAATGATTTACATCTTATCTGTGGTATCCCTGTTTTTTGTAATGACATTATTCTAAAGATTTAATGATAGGTTGAATAGGTTTCATGAAAGTTATTTTCATATTACTCCAGTTTTCTTTGCTATTCTAATTTTCTGTTTACAATACCTGCATATACTCAAACGGTGATGAATTTTGTTAGTATTTGGGTTCAGTGTTTGGATGTTTGGAGATAAGGAGAAGGGAATAGATCAAAGGAAGAAGAGAAGGAGGTGAAGAGCATGACAGATAGTTTTGATTTTCCTTCCTTTTATTTGGATGATTAAAATCCTCCCAAGTTGGGGGAAACCTTTGAAATGTTCATAAAAATTGAATATACTGTTTAAAGGATCACATGTTAATCCCTTTCTTCTTGATCCAAATATAACTGAAAAACCATGACCTTGTTGTATCTATCATATGTTTCATCCAGTGATCCTTACCTTGAATTCACTTCTGGATTTTCTGTAATAATACACATTACTTCCAAGTGCAGGTGATTATTTGTGCAGTGGAGAGGTCCAACAAGCGATTCCCATTTTACAGAAAGCATATGGAGATAGCATGCATAAAGTTTTACATGTTGGTCCTGATAGTTGCTATGTGGTCTCGAAATTGCTGAAGGAGGAGGAAACTGAAGCCTGGGGAATAGAACCATATGATATAGAGGAAGCTGATAGTAGTTGCAAAGCACTTATCCATAGAGGCAGTGTGCGTGTGGCTGATATCAAGTTTCCTCTTCCTTACAGGCCGAAATCTTTCTCTCTTGTAATTGTTTCAGATGCTCTGGATTACCTATCTCCAAGATACCTCAATAAAACTCTACCGGATTTGGTGAGGGTAGCATCTGATGGTGTTGTAATATTTACTGGTAAGAGCATTTCATGGAATTTAATACAGGTTCCTATCGATGAATTAAATTTGTTCTTCTGTCTGAAGAATTTATTATTATGTGAAACTTGCGTTAAATCAACTAGCATTACGGTTTTTGATAGACCTAAATAGCAAATGGTGTCATTTGATTCATGTAACTGAACCCATTCCCATCTAGCTGTTATTGAGTCCAAAAGTTTGGTTGTTATTGTTGGAGTGAATAATCCAGTATGGTATTAATGTTTCGAGCATAAATGTTGTTTGAGGTAGTGTATTTGAGCTTATGTGAACACTTGAACTCCCTTTTATTTGACTTAGAAAGTATGATTTCCTTTTACCGGTGTGAATGTTGATGAGTTATTGGGAGCTTGCGGTTTAAATATACTGTTTTTTCTGTTCCTTAATAGACTAACGATAGTCAAATAATCTTTTGGTTCTGACACTGACTTCTGATGAAATCTATAATGAAGGTTTTCCTACCACTCAAAAAGCGAAGGTAGCGGATGTTTCTAAATTTGGAAGAGCGGTGAGTAGAATTTACATAAAGAATAATAGAATGTTATCCATATTTTTATAGATATATTGATGTCAATTACTGGGCCTTCATGCACAGAGGTCCTTGATCATAGACCTACATATATATACCTTTCATATTTTATATATATAGAAAAATAGGGAAAAAATAACGGATTCGTGTTGATTCAGGCCAAGATGAGAAGTTCATCCTGGTGGGTCAAGTTTTTCCTCCAGATTAACTTAGAGGAGAACGAAGCTGCTTCTAAGAAGTTTGAACAGGCTTCCACCAAGAGTTCGTATATTCCAAAGTGCCAAATATTCCACTTGAATTCACTTCATTGATGAATGGGATGGTATAGCATTGGAGATCTCTTAATGTTGCTTCTCTGTTTTCATTTGAAACAATTCCTTCTATAAAAGTAATTTAATTCTTTAAAATATACTCGCCTTAGACGGAGTGCATCACTTTGATAGATTTTTATTCTTTGAATTCCAGCCCCTGGCTGCAAAAGACAATCAAGTTAGTATTTAACTAAATTATTAGTTGAGTTAGGCTATCTATAAGTAAGTTGCAAATATTCCTTTTTTTTTTTGTTGAGATATACATTAATTAGATGTCATCATATGTTCTTGAGTAATATATGTCAAAAGGTTGGATAAACCACAGTGTTTCTTTTTAGTTTACTTTTATCTCCGCACCATCGCTGTTGTAAACAGTAAGAAATATAATTCGTGATGACAAAATCAATAGTTTATATTTGAGTTTTTTATATATTTGGCTGTCAATGTAGGTTAGAAGTATTCCTTAGTAGATGTTTGTCAGAAGTTTTCCGGTGGATGTTAATAAGATTTTTATCAGTTCAAGATAAAAATGCTACTTTTTTATTATTATTTACTAGGTTGAAATATTAATTTCTATATTTGGTAGTAACTCAAATCCTTAATCTAAATAATAAATTTTAACTATGCTATTCAAATGAAACATTTAAAATAATTAAATAAGTTGAAATAATAGTACTTCAAATTTAATGTATTTATATTTTTTAAAATTTTTAAAATTTTCTATTCAAAACAAAAAGTTAGGTAATTTTGGTGAAAATATTAAAACAAAATAACCTCAATTAAAGGAGTCCCCTCTTTACTTATTTATTACGAGATTAACTCACCATTAAATTTCGAGTAACAAATTCAAAGACAAGAAAAGAAATCAAAAATTGAAAACTTTGTTTATTTTGTATTTTTATAACTTTGAAATCATTTAAGGGAGTTTTTAGAAACATCCTAATTGATTATCATTTACAATAATGAATTATTATTAAGTAATTATATATATATATATATATATATATATTCT